ATTATTGTATTTATTTAAAATTGAAAAAGAATATTACAAATTGAAGTTAAGAAATTAAAACTTAATTGTTGTCCTGATAATTCTGTTACACACTGTATTTGATTAATGGATATTTATCATCCTGGATAAATATCTATGCATCAAATTTATATTAAAATAAATTATGTTAATTTCTCACATTAACTAATTCTTTCAAATTAATATTACCTCTATTATAATTCAGTTTCTCTTCAAATCTGTATATCAATTTTTAAATTCTGTAAAAGTTGGTGTCATATTGTAAGAATGAGAAATCAAAATTACTTTATCAATAGTCAAGTTCTTTATTACATGAGAGAAACATTGTTAGTTGCTTTAGGCTAACTTCAGTTTGCATAGAATTTTTGAAAATAGAATAAATTTTGAACATTATAGAACTGAACAACAGCTTAAATTAAATTTAACTTATAAATATTATTTTAAAATGTTGTAAAATAATATTTTAAATTGAGTGTAACTCCACATACGTAAAGATCGAATTCACTCGAATAAAAACGTTCTATAATACGTGGAAATTTCAGGGAAGAAATCCAAGTTTTTGAACACTTCGAAGACAATTTTAAGAAAGACTGTTTTATATTTTGTTCTGCATTAAAATCTACCATTTCATCTAATCTTGTTAGTTTATTCATTTCGCTTTGGAGGAGCATTTCTTTAATTTTCTGAAGTAATTTTGTAGGTTTGTGCAATTGCAACACTGAAAGTCCCCATTTCTTCAGTGCTGCATTTAAGTCTGCTTCTGAGTTGAAATTTGTTTCTGAAAAGAAATCCAAAACGTTTTCTTTACTTTTGCTTTCGCAGCAATTTTCCTCANTGGTAGTAGCATGATTTCACATTCATAAAAGTTTTGATCATTGCTTACAAAAAACTGATCCAAGTGATTTTTGACATTGTCATTTCAAGTAAATGTCTTACAGTTAAAAAAAATTTGTATAGACCGGAACACATAATAATCTCAGTGTGCTTGATCTGGTGAATATGGTTGGTGTGATAGATGTCCCATCTAAGTTATAACAGTTTCTGATGAGTTACCAAACTTGTGTGAAATTTGACATTATCATCGTAAAACACTACACCTGTTTTGTTGATGAATTCTGGCCGCCTTTTCTGTTTGATGATATTACTCAATTTGTTTACTCGATGGCAGTACACTTTCGAATCAATTGTTAGATTGTCTGGTAAAAGCTCCAAAAAAAATTTCCTCAAAATCCCATCAAAGATAGCATTTCTCCTTAAAAACATGTGGAACTCATATATCAAGCTTTGAAACGAAACCAATTTGTTTCAAGTAATCATAAACAGTTCAATTTGACAAATTTAATCTCTTAGTGATTTCACATGTTGTTATTCGGCAGTTTGCTTCAATTAGTACCTTTATTTTGTTTTCATTGGCTTCAACTGGCCATCCAGAACGTGGTGCATCTTCAATATTGAAATTGCCAGAATGAAATTTTGTAAACCAGTTTTGGCACTGTCATTCTGTCAATACATCTTCCCCATACACGTCACACAATTTTTTTCTCGCTTGAACAGTATTCTTACCTTTTTGATAATAAAAGAGCAAAATATGCCGAAAATGCTGCTTTCGATCTTCCATATTTTGATGGGACACAAAAAATAAACAATTGCGCAAAATCAAACAAAATTTTTTACAAATAAGCCTTAAAATGCTAGCTGTCAAAATCTATAATGATAATATGGTGTAGAATAAAAATGGCGGGAAAAATACGACTAATCCGTCTAGTGGTAAAAAACGAAATTACTTTCCAAACAACCTAATACTTTCAGGGGAAGTTTTGAATTGAAATAACATGACTTCTGGTGTTCACCAGAGATTCAAACATAGTTAATTGGGCCTCCAGCCCCTAAGATTTCTGTATCTGGTCTCAGATTTCATCTATCTAACTCCATTCTCAAGAATAAGGAAAGACAGATGGACAGATAACAGTGGAAATTTATAGGTCTACAGCTTTTTTCATGTTGCAACCCAATAACTATTTTAAATTAATGTTATACAATTATTTTGTTATTTTTTACAACATATGTACAGTACAATAGTCTCACTAGCCCAACACATCTAGTAATTCAGCACTCACATGAAGTTTTCATATTACCACTTGATGTATGTGACATGTACAGTACAGTACAGTACTGTACTTGTATACAATATACTGGATGTTTATTGCATGTGCAGTCTTCAAAACAGTCACAATCATGATTAATGTAATTAACTAATCTATGAACCAAGTGTGTATTTGTTACTGTACAGTACATACATGCATACAAAATTCAGTAATCTGACAATCTGATATATTTGTAAGTTTGAGCGCTATTACTATTCCTCCAAATAATGAAAACATCATCAACGTATCTTGCATATATAAGTATGTCATTTATAAAGACGGGCAGTACATTACTTTCTAATCGTCATAATACTAGTTCACACAATAATGGGGAGTCCGATATCCCCGTTATTGTGTGAACTAGTATTATGACCCCTCTTTCTTGTAAATGTGTTCCCTTCAAATACAAAAAACGAAGTATAATAAATTAGGTGTGCAAGCTCTAAAATGTGTTGGTGATACTTCGTTGCATTATTAATGTTAGTAAGAAGGAAGTCTCTCAGCTCGCAAAAGCAAGGCGGTAATTTTATAGATGGAAATAAGGATTTAAAATCCATCACGATATGTTGATGATGTTTTTATCATTGCAAGATACGTTGATAATGTTTTCATCATTTGGAGGAATAGTAATAGCGCTCAATATTTCCTTAACAAAATGAATAACAACCCATATGGTGTGACTTTATCATTGGAACAGAAAAGTGGTATTTGTAAGCAATTGTTCAATCTAAAGATTATTTTATAATACTTTAAATTAAATTTAAAATATAAATATTACTCAAAACTGTTGTTTGGTTGTATAAAGTTTGAAAACTATGTATCATTTTCAAGAATTCTATGTAAACTGAAGATGGCCTAAAACATTTCAACAAAATNGGATTTTTTAGTTTCCAAAAATGCTTTTGATGATCCCATATGGTGTGACTTTATCATTGGAACAGAAAAGTGGTATTTGTAAGCAATTGTTCAATCTAAAGATTATTTTATAATACTTTAAATTAAATTTAAAATATAAATATTACTCAAAACTGTTGTTTGGTTGTATAAAGTTTGAAAACTATGTATCATTTTCAAGAATTCTATGTAAACTGAAGATGGCCTAAAACAGATCAACAAAATTTATCACAAAAAAATATTTTTTGATTTATTAACAGTTTAACATATGAACAAATATTCATAGCTATATTAACCAACGTTGTAGTAAATTAAATCTATTTTAAAATGCAATTTTAGTAATATGTAATATTTTTATTCTTGAAATGTTGCATAATATTTCTATGGTGCCTCAATTAAAAAAGTAAACATAAATTATGCAATATAGGAGATAGTACATTTTTTTTCATGTCTTTAAATATAGCAATTGAACAAATATAACCAAAACATTTAAATTTAAAAAGTGGTGAACTTGAACTATAAATACTTGGGAAATTAGTTCAATATTTTATCATTGAGTTAACCCAATCTAATGCTTGCTGATAAATTTTGTATTTATATGCACGTGACGGCAACATTGAAAATATATAATGTTCCTTACCACTTTTTTGGAAAATATTCAATGATGATTTATACTTATCTTTTTTATATTTAGATTTCTAGGCTTTTAAAAATATTTTAGCAAAATTCATAATTCTAAATTTATATATACAACAATTGATTAAGACTGTTTATAGTTATAACAAACTTTTGCAATAATATATAGTATATTACATCATCATTTTATTGAAGTATTTAAATTAATTTGACTTGGTTTTATTTTTAAATAGTTAATAATTCTGTAACCTATAACAACCTAATTTACATATAACAGGTAAGACGTTATTGAATAGAATGAGTAAAAAATGTATGCAGTTGAGATAAAATAATTATCATACGGGATTTATCAAATGTAAATTATAAAAAAAAACATTAACATGTAAGTGCTGAGTTATATAGTTTATAGAATATATATTTTTCATTAGTGCATTTAGAGTTATCACAGAAATTTATTAAATTCTTCTGAATTATTTAATTAATTAATGTAATTACTAAATTATTTATTTTTGTTACATTGTAAATTGATTTATGCATTAAATATAATATTTAGAAAATACGTAATTTGTGTAACAATTATTACAATAAGTCTTGTTTGATATAAAACAGTCTTTTATTATGTTTTTGTAGAATATTAATTTTAAGATTTTTTTTAGATTCACTATCAACAGAGACTGAAAAACTGTTTTAATATTTTCATATATTTTTGATTTCTAATTTCTGATTTTATAATTTGAATTAGAGTAAAACTAAAACAATAGTTTTGATTACAATTGACATTATTTACAACAGTTTTGACTTTTAAAATTGTATGTTGTAGAAATGATTAAAATATTTTTTACATTTGTTTTCTGGCTTCAGCATCTATTTCCAATATTTTCTAAAAATTCTAAAAATCTAATTTGTAATGCAGATTTTTAGAATACCAAAATTGGATGTAATAGTTTAAAATATTTCAACTTTAAAAACAAGTTTGACTTGTTCAATAATCTTTAGTCTTACATAAGTATGGTATATTTTAGAAATATATCAAATTAAAATCCATCATTCCATTATTTTTTCATAAATAAAAGTTTTAATTGTAAAACTATTTTAAAATTAGATATTAAATTATGAATATTTAAAATTATAGTTTAGAAAAATAAAATATAATTTAGAAAGGAATTTAGATAAACACAATACTACAATACTACTACATTCATCTACATTTTTTTATATTTTTATTTTGTAATTAAGAATTAGTTAATTGTTTATAATTTTTATATTTAAAAATATAAGCTAACAAAATTTTGTAAATATATTTTACAGGTGTAAAAGTACTAAGTATGATAAGGATTTACCTTCAACATCTGTGGTAATTATATTTACAAATGAAATATGGTCTGAACTTTTGAGGACGATTTATAGTGTGTTGAATCGAACACCTAATCACCTTTTAAAAGAAATTATTTTAGTTGATGATGCCAGTGATAGAGGTTTGATTTTAATCTGATATTTCTAGATAAAATTTAAAAAAACTGTGATTATCTTATTTTGTAAATAATGTTAAAAATGGATTGTATATTTTTAGAAAAATGATTTTAATTTATGTTGCAACTTATACAAATGATATTTCTCCAAGATTTCTTATGATTTAATTAAGGTATAAGGAAATTATTGAAAATTTTGAATTAGGAAAATAGAGAAATTTAATTTTTTTTTAAGTAAATTAACTGGAACATTTTAAAAAAATTCTTAAAATTTTATTTGAGCAAAATTTTGATGACGTGTTATGAAAATGTTTCAAATATAAAATCCAAACTAAATTGCTTTTTCTGGAATAAAAATTTTCAAAAATGGTTTGTAGTGTTTTTAAAAGTTTTTATTTCAGAAACAGTAGTTTGAGTTGTACAAAATTTAATTATGTTAATTTTAAAATCTTGCCAATGAAAATTTATTTTTAATTATTTATTTGTATTATTTATATAAGTATTTATTGACAATATTAAATATACCAGTAAAATATATAGTTAAATCACTTTATTAAGTAGCACATAAAAATCTCCATTGAAAATACTGATTTATATGTAGATAAGTTTAAAATACAAGTTTATAAAATTGTTAGAATTGAAATAAAAATCTTCAAATAACTAACTACACCACTGTGTATCTTACACATCTGAAGTGGCATTGAAACATGGCATTTACTAGTATGAAGTTTACAATATACTANAATAATCCGTATAAACTACGCTATAAACAAAAAATTGTAGGATTACTTACCGAGTGTCACCATTCGACATTGCCATTGCTCAACATTGTTTTCGTCGCGGAACAGCTCAGCAAAGAGCGGCCGATTTCTAACAACTTATTTTTCTGTGAAAACTTCGTAGAACTTCGGAGACATCATTAATATAAATAATTTTAATCGCCGTTGAATAAGAAATGTTTCTTTCACAAGAAATGTATAAAATTACAGTACTGTATTAGACTTACGGTACCTAATTTACATACTGACAGACGATAGTTAGCGTAAAAATCTCCGTAGCGTGGCGCCACGCTAGACGGCGGAAATTATATATTTAATTATAACAAAGTTACAATAAGTTAATATATAATTATATATACAGTACCTAATTTATATATAATTAATATATAATTATATGTACAGTACCTAATTTATATATAATTTATATAATACTGTCCAGACGATAGAAATCTCTCCGTAGCGTGGCGCTACGGACGGCGGGAAAGTAGTTCGGCTGCTCGATGACGTTTTACGTAATTATAGAAGTTTTTTTACCTTTTTTTACGGATACCGACACAATTTTTTCGCAGTTTTATAGGAATCGTAATTATAGGGACCGTAATTATAGGGGGGTCGACTGTATATTATTATATTAGTATATCCCGTGTAATTAGTATATCACTATTAACCTACTTCGCGTTCAATGTTCATCGATGTTAATCCTAACAATTTTTTTTAAAATAATAATCGTCGCTATTGTATAGTTAAAAATCATTTTTAAATTATTTTATTGCTCACGAAACAAACAACCACTCATAATTAGAAAATTAAGCCTAGTTTAAATACTGGCCTCCCTTTCATGGTCAAGCCAGCCTAAAACACGCAAAAATTTAACAAAAATAATATTAAAGTAGCCAAGTAGCCAAGACATAGCCAAATATTGTAGCGCCACATCACTAACGCACATTTGAAATTTGCCGACTAGAACGGTCGGTTAACCGATGTGACGGTTGATCGGGGGTCGGATAATCGATGCTCTACTGTAATTGTAACTATTTTACTTTAAAGGCAGTTAATGAAAATAATAGGCTATATATCTAAAAATTTAGTTATCGTCTTCTATTGATTATCCTCTATTCTTCTGTTAATGCGAAAATAATAAGGACGTGTACACGATATAGAAAAACCACTCACAATTTAACATGTGTCCATGCAGACATTGCTCTTGTCAAAAGACAAAGCAATACATAAGTAGTTCGAAATACTTTCTGTTTCACTTTTGTAATCGAAAGCAAACTGTTATGCTTGACATGTTACAATTATATGTGATATATTGATAGATATGTGATTTTACAAGAGTATACAGGTAGTGTACATAAATTAAACTACTTGTTATCAAAGAAAGGCGAAATAACAAGCATTTCGAACCACCTATTTACGCATTGCTTATTTAATTCACGAGCGCAATGTCTGCATAACAAATATTCAATTATGAGTGTTGCTTTCATATCTGTGTGCATGTTTTTATTATTACTTTCCCCACTGTTTTACATAACAGATCGAAAGTATGGCAATCGGTCAAAAAATGACCTCCAAAATTTTACATTTTTGGACTCAGGGGTCCTTGAAATGTCGAGATAAGTAAAAATATTCGAGTTTTTCTACATGTATGGATGTTAGCGTGTGTGGAGAGGCACGATTTTGTTCACCGTCTTTGAAGCTTAATAACTGCTGTACTTTTGTTGAAAATTTCTGAAATTTTGCAGGGTGGTTTGACTAGTAGGAGGATAGATGCTATTACATTTTGGTGATTAAAGGTTGAGGGGTGGGGAAATAAAGGGGAGTCATGTGTCAAGTAGAGTCGGACTTAATGACAATTTTACTGGCTATTAGCATTTACATTTTTTAAAATAAAACTCATCTATACCCTCAAAATTAAGCTTTTTGCCATTTTATGATAGTTAGAAATGTAAAACGTTTCTAATAAAATATAATAACAAATGGCATCACCAAATGATGCCGGAAAAGTTAAGCAACTCGTTGCAGAAATTTTTTTTCATTAAAACGGAGGAAAGGATTTAAATAATAATCAGTTAGGTTTGCTAATTGACTATCGTTTAAATACGATTAGTACAATTATTTATTATCCCTTTCTTGTTTCAGTCATACAAATTATTTTAATAAAAAATAAGTTTGTCCCTGAATATTAGTGATCACGTTCGGAAAGTCACTGTTGCTGTGTGCAGGAAATTTTACAAAAGAAATAGTTTGAAATGACGAACAAATTTAAACCGCTATACAGGGCATATTTATATAAAGTACTAAATAACTTGGAGAGTTCAATTTGAAAAGAAGATTTATGCCAAGTGACAAACATTAAACTGGAAACTTTTCACAAAGCTCTCAAAACTAGAAACTCTAGCTGATCTCGAAGAAATTTAACTGAATAGAGAACTATTTTTGTCATTTAGCAAAATTTATTCAATAAATTTAAATATATCAAATATTGAGAAGCTCGCAAAGTATATAGAAACATAACTAAACGACATTGTTCTCGCCTTCTCAATTAGCAAAGCCATTAGCAACTGGAATCACTCCACAATAATGAGTTAATCTGTCGTTTAGAAAGTATATTGGCATTTCCTCTCCTTTATTTCGGAGATTGTTTTTGCCATTTAAATTATGGCGCTAAAACTAAGCATTGTATTCAAAATAAACCCAAAAACTTTTGGAGATGGCTTACTCAATAATTTCTAATACATTTAAGAAACCTTGATACTACACCATTTACATTTTAAAATTTAATTTGAATATTATAAAATTACTTCAATATATTTAAGTTTAGTGTGACTGCTTGGATGCTAATATACTAAATTTCTATTTTATTAAAATTTAGCGAATTATCAAATTTCTATTTTATTAAAATTTAACGAATTATCAAATTTCTATTTTATTAAAATTTAGCGAATTATCAAATTTCTATTTTATTAAAATTTAACGAATTATCAAATTTCTATTTTATTAAAATTTAGCGAATTATCAAATTTCTTTCAGAATGAGAATTACTATAATCTCTAATTTTCTTTTGATTGCGACATTTTGCTATCTGTGCTGCAGAATGTCTTTATCTGTAAATGCGTAATATACAGAATATAATCTGTTATTAATATCCATTATCTCGTCATAAATTATCTTACAGCTGTTTATATTAATAATTTTCCTAACTTACGGAGATAAAGTTAAACAGATTATTTAAAACCAGTTGAATTGATATTTTTATAATTTATTGTTGTTCTGGTTTGTTCAGGTATGCTTAGAAACTAAGACGTTCCCTACTCATATAGTTTCACTTTTATTAATATTTTAAATAATTAATTTAATCGTCTATATTTTTTATGAGAAGGCTGTACAAATTTATACATATATTTTTCATATGTTATGCTACAGAATTATGTGTAATAGTTAATGGTTATAATGTTAAAATTATTTTTTAATATCTAGCATGTATTCTCTTATATTTATTATACAAGATATATATATATATAAATATTGTATGTATAATACAGATATATATATATATATAACAATCTGAAGATTTACTTCAACATTGACACAATCAGATTAATGAAAAGTAATTTAATTTAGAACATAGATCTAAATTTAAACATTGATTAATAATTTCGAATTATTTCTAAGGAAATCTAGTAATATAGTTTGTATAGATAAATTACAGTTTATATGTAATATTAGATAGTTCACCATCAAGCATGGAGTGGTACTATGGTCTGGCCTTTTGTCCCTGTCAGGTCGATTACATTCCCATTATTATTAAGTTACCGTAACATGGGGAAAGTATGAAATGTATTTATTCCACTCCCTTCTAGTTAATATAGGCCTATTACGTTCCCATCCAATACTACTCACTTTTCACACTGACTTGATAACATGTCCGAGCATGACGGTATAGACACTTCGGCCATTTGCCTTTCAGATACAGAACCGTTTCAAAAATTCTATAGCCTTGTAGAATTTTATGCACTCGGTTTTATCAGTGGTTTTATGCACTCGGTTTTATGGTAGCCTTTCAGGCCTACCGTAAAACCGAGTGCATAAAACCACTGATCACTGATAGTTGGTCGTGGGTTCTCACCTGGCCACGTAAAGTTTTTCGGGTTTTCTTCACGTTAGTAACACCTAAATTGGGATCAGTTTTCCATAAAAGTCCTACAGGGAGGCATTCTCTCTCGGCAGATCGCCAATGTGTCGCGTTGCCGTATACGAATAAAACCGAAAAAGATTTCTTTGCTGTCTTTTACGAGTAATACAGGCCTTAATATTCCTTTGGATTCTTTAATGTGCTAAGGCAAATTCTAAATAAAAAATAAACAGACTTTGTTTATTATATTATATTAATAATATTTATAACAGAATTACAATAAAAATAATAAATAATACAATTTGTTATAAAGTATCGCCATCTGTGAATAAAGACAACAAACAAACAAACTTTGGTTATTATATTAATAATATATTAATAATTTGATCAAACTTGATTAATCTGTATATTATTAATGTTCAGATTATAGCCTGATCAAACTCTGAAGTTTGTATATAATGTTATATCATGAAGGAATCTGTAATTATAGCCTATCAGTACAAAAACTAGTTTTCCAGCTGATATAATTATAGACTCCATGTTTCTTTATTATTAATATTATGTTGGTTTTGTGAGTTATACTCGGATCACACCGGTGTCTGTGTACTATGCCGAACCAGAGTCAAGGCATAGCAACCAAAACAAAACTAAAATTAAATAAGTGTGTCAGTGTGTGTCTGTATTCAGGAATTTCCTAACAATGTGGCATGTATTCAATATAGTGGCCTTCTGTAGTGTGANCTGATATTGTAGCCATAATGCGTGTTGTTTAACATGTTGGATAATAGGTTCGGGGCTAGGCAGAACCAGAGAAGGAATCTTTCAAGGAATCTCCTTGAAAAATTCCTCGCCTAATGAATATTTCGTTTGTTATTATTATTATTTATTTTTGATTAATAATTGTTTTGTAGACTTTTTAAAAATAATAAATATATATATCTCTAAAATATAATATGTTAAATTAATTATATTTTTAAACAGTTTTCTTTTACTTTTTTTACATTATCTAATTTTTAAGATGATACTTCTCACTGTAACAATTGATAAGATACTGTTGATGTATTAAAATTTATTTATCATTTAGTATCTTCAAATGAATTTTATAATGTCAGCATTAACTTTAGCTATCATTAGTTTTCAGTAATTATATTGTACTGTATTATATTTTATTACATTAGTGTAATGATAATTTTATTTGTAATGTTATTGATCTAAATGCTCTTTGTAATATATATACCGACCTAGAGGAAATCAAGGTAGAACGGAACACTTAAGGGTTAATATTTTATATGAATAAGTTCAAATTTTATGTATCTAATTATCTAAATTTTATGTATCTAATTAATAATAATTACATATTTCTGAAATTAAATACATGATATAACTAATTTAACAGTATTAATTTGAAAGACTAAAGCAATTCATGCTATACTTAATGCTACATACTGAATTTTTGTTTTATTTCAGCTATTAATTCAGTTTTTGACTTGCAAAGTTTTAGATCATGTATATTTACTATGTAAAGGACAAAAATGAATTACAGTGAAACCTCCCTCGATTTAACGAAATAATTCGGACGAATGGCTAAAGCCTAAAGTTCGTTATACTAGGTTTGTCCGGAAAAAATTGTCATTGTTAATTAATCTAATGAGAATTTTTTGCGCGACATCGATGTTATCTGGTATCTAAGATGAGTGAACTGATTGACAGTGCGAGATCTAGAAGTTGATCTGGGGATACCAATGTTTCTTGTATCTTACTCAATAAATGTTTCTACATTTATTGAGTATTTTTCATATTACATAGCTGAATACTTTCTGAGCAGAACACGTATAATAAAGTAGGTTTTCCGAATGCATGTATTAAAAATTGACAAATTAGTTAGCTTCTATTTTTCTATGTAGATACGTTTACGTAATAATTACGTAATACATACAGAAAAATTTTCTGTGTGTATTATTGCTTATGTACCGTACTTACCGTAGTTCTATGACACTAATAAACAAGTATAGATATAAATTGAAGCAAATAAACAAACATTTAATTGAAAAATACACTTAAAGAGCGTGACTCTTGAATTTTAAAGAGAAATAAATAAACTGTTAATTTAATAACATATAAAAAGTACTTTAAAAATTAACAGGGTATTAATTTACACATACGGAAATTTTTTTACAGTTAAAGTCCGTTAAACCGTGATTTTACTGTATTTCATTACTCTCAACGTTATATTAATAGATAAAATGTCCTAAACTATTTTTTATAGGAAAGACTGCTGTTCAAAAATGAAGTTTTTGATGGTAATGCTTATTTTAGTTGCCTTCGCAACAACAACAAGTAAGTGATCTACAGCAATTTTTTTTTGCATAATTTATTTTAGATATAGATTCATTATCAAGTTCTGAATTGTATTTAATTATTAATTTTTAAAAAAATCTTTTAGTGGTTTCTGCAGATGATCAACCAAACCTTGATGTAAGTTGTGAAGTAGATTCTGACTGCGAATCAGTGTGTTACGATTTTGGAGGTGTCGAAGGCAGTTGTATTGACAATATGTGTTATTGTCAGTAGAAAGATTCGAAAAAATAAAACTTTTAAAATGTGGTAATAACCTAATTTTAAAATATATTTTTCACTGCATTTTCTTCTGTAATAATGTTCCATAAATACTCCCTCACTACCCTATTAAGAATCTCCAAATCACAAAAAGTCCCACTCAGTGGCAACACTAATTGTATATAAAACAAACAGGAAATCCTTTATTTTGCTCATTCACCCCTTTTACAGTTTTCAGATAATAATCCAGCATGAGTTCATTTCGATAATGAAGATTTAAAAAAATATTTTCTGTATCTTTGAGCTAAACAGAAATCAAATATGTCGATTTCACTAACTTCTAATAATCAAATCTTAAACTGCTCAAAAGTTAATTATTTTAATTAAAAATCTTACCTTCGTTGTTACAATTTTTTATAAATTGTAGTTTTAATTCCTCTAATTTTACTATTATTATTTAATTCCTTTTCTATTATTAACTACACGGAGCCAAAAAATACATTATAGCATTAAGAATAATAATTAAAAATAAAAAAATAACCACAGATTTATATATACAAATTTATTTCATAAAGCAATTTTATTCTAGATTATTCAATTTTAAAATTTTGCATTTTGTTTATTTTTTTAATAGTTAATATAGAAATGCCCATTATATCTTAATTATAAATGATATTTTATTTGGATACACATATAATACAATGATAATTTTATACCTTGTATGTCATCAATTAATAAGGTGGAAGGCGTTTGTGACAAAGTGTAAATAATCTTCTCAAACACTAAGTATTTACTAAAATACTCACAAAAAAGATTATTGTGTATTTATTTCCTTATTACCAAAGTAAATTAATTGAAGTAATCATTATCTGAATTGAAATTGATAAAATTATTAAAATATGTATTGTACAGTATAATGTGCAAACATTAAATTAATATATATTAATCGAGTAAAAATTATTTAAGAAAAATTCTGGTGACTACTCTAAAACCGTTTATTGGGCTGCATTTGAAAAAATTGTAGATCTATAAATTCCCACTGCCTGTCCTTCTTTAACCTCGCGATCAGACTTAGATAAAAAAAGATTATAGAATATAGCAGATATGAAAAGATTAGAAACAGAAGGCCTCGATTAAATCCTATATAAAAACTGCCGATTCAAACCGAAAGTCACGTTACTTCAATTCAAAAATTTTTTCAGAAAGGCGTTAGATAAATGACCGGCACGACCCGATTGCTAAAGGAAAAGTATGATGTGCAGGGGCAAGCCACTACTAATTTGAGGTGAAAAGCATATATTTTAAATTAAATAAATTAAAATTGTGATTAAAAATTGCAGTCTGGCATTGTGACGATATCACAATAAAATATTTGCTCGTTTATTTTACTTTTTCTTTGAAAACCTTTATACTATACTTTTGCATTAAAATACAGTCGACCCCCCTATAACACGGTAGATACGTTCCGAGTTTTATGAATCCAGCTTCTAGGAGTCCTTAAATACATGAGCCAATCACAGCCCGGCACGTATGCAGTTTACGGACTACGGCTGTTTGAAAGGTTTNCAGCCCGGCACGTATGCAGTTTACGGACTACGGCTGTTTGAAAGGTTTCTTCCGTAAAATTAATCGATTCTAAACTAATTCGACTCAACATTTCCAAAATATGTATAATTTTTGGGTATAATCCATATAAACTATGCTATAAACAAAAAGTTGTAGGATTACTTACCGAGTGTGCACCGTTCGACTACGCCGTTGCTTAAGCTTGTTTTCGTCCTGGAGATTGTCATCGAATGGCGCTCGCGTGCTTCCTGATAAATTATTTTTTTCGTGAAAAATTCGATAAACTTTAGAGACATCGTTAATATAAATATAATTTTTATGGACGTTAAATAATAAATGGTTTTTAGTAGGTACACTGCTCGTTTAAACTCAACGGTTTGTGCAATCCTGTCGCGACACGAGTTGGCGGTGACGTTTAACCGAATTATAGGAGTTTTTTACATTTTTGTACGAATACTGTCGCAATTTTTTCGCCGTGATATAGGAATCCGAACTATAGGAACCCGTGTTATAGGGGGTCGACTCTACTTGATATGATATATATTAATTGTATGCGAACTACAGAAAGTATATACATAAAAACATATATTTTCACGTAAATATGCCAATATGAATATAGCAACAGAATTTCAAAAGCGTTCAGATTTCAATCAATATTCATCATTTGGTAATCGATAGAATAAAAAGAACATTTTATTACTCGGTCGCCATCTATCAAGAAAATATAAAATTAAAGTTTTATCGATCAGTATCTTTGCTGTGATATTTCAATACAGTTTACAAAGTGATCTTTTTGATATAATACCGTTATATTGATTATATTATAATTAAATTATCGTCATACATCAGAGATCCATAATAATCAATTATTAATTGTATTTAGCAATATTAAATTAGGAATAGATATAATTTCAAAATTTAATATAATTACAATGAATTAAAATAATATAGAAATGATGATTAAATCTAATAAATATAAAGTTTTATATTCATTATTTATTGTTGACTATTTTTACTTCTTTTTAACCGAATTTTAGAGATACATTTGTAATAAAAAATTGAGCAAATTGATTTATATATTATTTATTTACATGTTTTCTTTGTATTCTATTAAGTTGATAGCTCATTGCAATTCAACAAATCACTGTATTTTTCAGTAAAAATTGCTACATAACAAAAACTTAAACTTTGCTAAAAGATGACGTTTAACTACTTAAAAATTTGGGGAAAATTAAATTTATTTTGTATAGCATTTATTAACATTATAATAGTGTAATGTATATCATCTTCATATAATAAAACAGACACAAGCAAACAGTTATGAACTAATCTACCAGTTATTCGAACATAAAAACTTGTTAAACTTCGATGTGTTTTTACAGAAACTTTTAGAACCCAGGCTTTGTACCGAGATTGATTAGTTATTATGACAAATAAATACAATACAATACTATATTATTGATCACAAGGACGATAGTACTTTGTCTTACAAAATTGTATTTTACTGTACAATAATTTAAATCATATCCGAAATTGTCATTATTTTCTGAAATGAAAAAAAAAAACATATTTTTTAAATACAAAAGCTTTCAAGTAAACCTCATTATAACATTTATCCTGCAAGTTCTTTCAACTTCTCAGAAAAAATTTCATATTATTAACAAATGCCAATGTAACTATCGTGAGTGACATTTAACCTTGCCTTAATTATTAACAAATATTTACAAATTTATTCTGCACATATCATTAGAAACGAATTGACTTAGAGAGAGATCGAAGAAATTCGATAATCTCCTTAAATTTCCGATGAGAAAATTTCGGGTTCATTAACAAATAGAAATAGGACATCTTTATCAGAAATGTAAATTAAATATAAATAAAGTACAGTCTAAAACGTTATATTGAACGATTTACAAAAAAATCCTTCGGCGTATAAAAAATTTTTTGTTTAAACGTTATTTCGAATCCTAACACGTCATTATTCTTGATATAGAATTATTATATTTATAATTCAATAGTAGTTATTAGATAAAATATTTAATACATAGTTGATTCTCATTTTGGAATATATCACTACATTTTTAACACTATTCTATGTATATTTGTAATGTTGCTAATAGTACAGATATATTATTTATTTTATCATAGTTTCATTTCAAAGTCCATTTATTGAACAAAAGTATCTTGAATATCCAGGAGTGTTCTTGCTGGAGATTGGCGAGATGCAATTCACCTCTCTAGAGCATCTTTCACATGTTTTATGAGTCTTCTCCGGAGATTTTGCTGGGCAAGAAAGTCAAAGGCGAGCTCAGTCTTATGGGCGCGGTCATTATCGTCCATGGAAATAAAATCTGCGTTTGCAGCAACTTGAAAAAGTTTCGTATGCAGTTCCGAAATCTCATCTTTGTATTTTCTTGCATCCCTTGAAAAAAGTGGAGCTAGTTCGGCCATCAAACATACACCATCTTCAAATTACAGTATACTCTTTCTATAATGTTCATGATGAGGTTCGTGGTTTATAGTCTTTCCGCAATATTTACGTCTGGTTATTTGCTCTCTCCAGATTCTAATTCGACATGAATCATCCTGAAAAATGTATTTGGACTCTTACATATTCGTGTCCGAAAAAATGCAATAGAAATTATTAAAATAAAAGAATGCATGCATAACTTATTTCAAGCATTATAAAAATTAAGACTAAAATATTTTATTTCTGTATCCATCATAAAATAATACGTAATCTAAATATATTTATTCTTACCTTGTGTTATATGTAATAAAGTTTTAAATTCATGAATTTCCATAAAATGTATTGTTGGATATAATTTTGCATTTATTATTGTTCGAAACTTCTTGTAAATTTTTAATTAAAGAGAAGGCAGATTCCAAAGCTTCACCTAACTAAAACGAATAAAATTTAAAATGAAATTAGTCAAATAAATTTAATATTAAATTGTAAAACTTAATAAGTTATTTACTTTAATCGCTACGTCTTGTGTTATTACAAAGAATCCACCACACGATATTCCAATCGGAATATTTCCAAATCTTTTCATAAAATTTAATATCTGAAAAACAAGTTGAAAGAATTTGGTTTGAATAAACTCATCTCATATAAAAGTTAATTATAAAAATGTAGCTTAAAATATTTATAATACAAATGTTTATGATACAAAAAAGATGGTAAATAATAGCAAAAGTCATAATATTGATACAAATGAATGTGAAGCCCATATTCCTACTATTTTTTTTAATAAACTTTTTCCTCCTTTCTACACTAAGAAGAAAATATTATATTTTAATATTTAATTCGGATAGATTTTTTGAATGCCATAATGTGATTCGTTACTGCATAATCGATTATTAATTTCAGCCCTATAAGAGAGATTTTGTTTACATGTTATGTCAGTATTCAATAGACCATAAGGCAAAATAATATAACAAATTCGCATATCCATCCACTCTCTGTTAATTCCTTTCCAATAACGTATTACACTATACTTTTTATACTGATATAT